ATTCATTTTGCATTATGAATTCTATGTTACCACTTCAGAGGTTATATGTTCTAGTCGCACAAAATTACACTGGCTTCAGTCCACTCTATACCGTGGGAAGATTTTCAGCTTTATTTCATCGGGGGATTGATTGTCCAAGGAGCTGATATTTGTCGGTCCTCACTTCGAGTTTGGGGGTCCACATGATTTGACATACCGTCTGCCAACCTTGGAAAGATAAGATGTTACATTGTTATGGTTTTTCAATACCTTTAATATTATTATCGGTAGTTATTTGAGTTTTATAATATAAGCTTTGATAGTTTAGTCGATACTCAAAGTCCATTTCAAGTTAGTAATTAAGCTTAGTTGTATCCTTTCTCCTATACCACTGATACTAGGGGTCTTTGTTATTTTAGGATTACTTGTAATTTATCTAATTGGGATATCAATCATTTGTTTAACTATATTGTTTTTCTTCCATACATTACATCTTATACATAGGTTATTGTTCCTGCACACTTATTTCATTTTCATTATTATACTTATTGTTAGGTTACAATTTTTATTTTAGAGCTTAGTGATATCCTTTGTCCTGCACTGTTTGATTAGGCTTAACATGTGTCTGTTATTTTTGGTTTACTTGTAGTTCAACTTGAAGATTATTGTTAATTGCGTTAAATATCTTGTTAGCTTAGGCATAACAAGTGTCTGTTAATTTATACGGCCCAGATTTTCAATTTTCCTCCACCTTATCATGGAATGTATTCCAGGCCTCTACAGTAGAATCTGTTCAGCCTATCTCAGTATTTTTTCTTTATTTTAGACATGTTTCACAGTATATTCCCTTCTCCTGACATTGTTTCTTTATTATCTTTTTGTCTCTTTTGAGATTGGGTACTTGCCATTTACAGGCTTTAATTCTTTTAGCTTTATCAGGCAGATTTTCTTCAAGGTTTTATGTCCTTTAGATCTATGTTACTCCTTTCTATTTTCTCCGCTACCTAGTTTTCAGTTTCATTTTACCCTATCTACTGTCCTACGGGTAACATTTACCTTCCACTTCCTTTCTTTGGTGTTCCACTATATTTAGGAATTTTCGTTGGATACCTCCTCCTCCTTCATTCCATGTTTGGGGGTTTGCCATCTTCCATTCTTTCCCTCCACACATGACTTCTTTCTTTTTACGAACTTCTTGAGTGGGACACTGCTGTTTGTTTTCCATCCACTACTAATAGAAACTGATGGTCAGATCTTTTTCTACACTGGTCCATTTTTTGAGGGGGTATCTCCTGTACATTTAGCATCATGTGGGGTATCTGCCATGTTATATTAATTTTTTTTGTTTCATTCTGAGATATTGTCATCTTTATTCTTTTACATGTTCAGCAATTTTCTGTCCTTTACCTGTCCTACCTACAGGTTTTCTCCATTCATTTGGTATGCTCGATGCTGTTTGGGGTTCTGGATCGATCGGTCCCACCTCAATCACTTCTTGGGTCTTCTCCACTTTCATATTTAGTCTTTGATTTCATTTGAGTTTGCTATTTCTTCATGTCAAGGTATGCCCACATTACACATTCTTATTTTCCATTTCGTGGGATGCTATTTTAGGTTATTTCACTTGATTTGATCCCAATTTCATGCCTTGTCTTCTAGACTTGTCTGGTACCATATTTCTTTTGTGGGGTGATCTGCATTTTACCCAACTTCCACTCTTTTTTTGGGGGGAGGGGTGATTTTACCTACACTATTCATTGGATGTTTAGCTTTAGTTAGCTAATTCCGAATTGAGATAGTCTTCACATACTCATATACTCCTTTTGCAGTCAACTTGGTTTGTTGTATTTTTCCAATTGGATGTGTTTTTCCTGTTCCACACCTCACATTCTCGTCTCTTTGGGGTGGGTATTTTTACACACCCCTCTATCCAGACCATCCATTGATTTTCCTTTCAATTTTCTTCCTTCCATCTTCTATATGAGTTGATAGATTTTCATATTCAATTTGATATCAGGTTTCCTGCTTTCTTCACCTTTTCTTGATTGTTTCTCTTCCCTGATGCTCATCTCCATTGGTTGGGGACATGGTTCGATCTGTTGGAGGCTTCAGGACTTTGGTCTCCAGGTGAATGGTGTTATTCCCTTCACACCCTGGAACTTCATCCAATCCAATGTGCTTTTGTTCACTCTTTTCATTTTGTCCAGATTTGACTAATCATATTTTATTTCGACTATCCTATGGTGGTAGCTTCTATCACTCACCAAGGGGATGTTGTTTCTTGTTCTTTTTCTGGTAGACAGTGGATCTCCATTTTTTAACGCACACACACTTCACGTGCATCTCCTGGATGGTCATGTTCCATGTTTTTGGCCTTTCCAGTCACATCACATTTTCTCCCAAGGAGTGACCTCTCGATTCTCCAAATTTTTTATGGCTGTACCTCCTGCGAGGTACTCCTCCACATGAAGTTTTTGAATTTTTTATCAATTCCCAAGTAATTCCCTCTTTTGTTTTTGGCCTCTAGTTCATTATCCTCTTGCCCTGGTTGTCGATATGTTCAGACAGGATTACATGCGTCTCCTTGAGGGTTGTGTTCCAGGTTTTTGGTCCTCATTGCCTTTCCAGTAC